CAAACTGCAGTCACTCCCTAAGATGAGCCCCGAGGAAACTCAGGGTGTGAAGAAAAAAACAAAACAGGAAACTGGCCCCAGATAGCTGAGGTGTGTATCAAAGGATTGATGTCATTGAGTCCAGACTCTTGCATCTTCTCATACACAGAAAAGCACTAAATTCCTTGACTTGGAATATCTGTTTTTCTTTAATTTACAAAAAACTTTTGACGTTCAGGTTACCTGGCCTTTGATTGCCAAACTTCTATATAACCTGGCCCTTCACCTCACCTCCTTAGAGCAGTTCTCTCAGGGTTACCTGAGATGCTGCCTCCTGGGCTTAAGTCCTAAAAACTTCCACTGAATAAAGGGTAACTCTCAACTTTTAGGTTGCATATATTTTTTCAGTCAACAAACACAAAACAGAAACAATATAGTAACAAATTCAATAAAGACTTTAAAAATGATCCACATCACAAAAGAAAAGAAAATTCTTTTCAAAAAATGCTTTAAAAAAAGACAAAAACAAAAAAGCTCTATCACTAGTTCAAAGACCCTGTGGGGCAGGAGCCAAAATTGCCCACTCTCCAGTTGCTGGGACATCAGCCCATGGGTTGTGGATGAAGATTTAACCACAAATCTGGGGCGCCTACGGCCCGTTTTCATGTCACCAGACAATGCCAGCGTGGGAAGCATGTGACCAGGGCCCTCTCTCCTGGAAAAGGCAGAGAGCCTCATTGCTGAGGGCTGGGACCCCTCTTCAGCCCCAGCCTCTTTCCTCTTCTGTTGGTCCTAATGGCAGAGTTAAGTTGATCTGACAGTGTTTGTCAAGGAGAATGAAAGTTTGCGTGGAAGTGCATCAAAATAGGAATTTTAACTTTTAGGCTAAGCAGTATCTCATTTGTGTATTTTAGATATATTTCCTCAAAATGACCGTTTTTTTCAAGAGTAAGGTTGTTTAAAGGAAAAGCATACTTATTTTGGTATTGCTTTTTAGAATTTCAAGCAGCTTTTACTATGAGCTCTACATATTTTAACTTTTTATTGAAGTAAAACATACATAGAGAAAAGTACACATATCATAGGTGAACAGCACAATGAATTTTCACAAACTTAACAGATCCATTAAGTGGCACCCAGATCGAGAAACATTGCCTGTACCCCATAAATCCTCTGTATCATCCTTGTAACTCCTTCCAGTCATCAACTCCCCAGTGACCACCATCCTGACTTCTAACTTCATAGTTTGTCTTTGCTTGTTGTATACTTTGTATAAACGGAACCACATAGTACGTATGCTTTTGTGTCTGGTTTCCTTCCCTCAGTATTGTTTACGAGGTCTGGCAACACTCAGCGTAGCAGTGCCTTGTGCATTCTCTGTCTGGTATTCCATTTTGAGAGGATACCTCTGCAATGTTTTCAATCCATTCTACTGCTGATGGACATTTGGGTAGTTTCCAATCCGAGGCTATTACAAATACACGGCAATGGACATTCTTGTTCCGATCCTCTGGTAGACATATGCACTAGCTTCTGTTAAGTATATACCTAGAAGAGGAATTGGGACATTGGGTAGTTGTGAGCTCATTTTTAATTGATTCTGCCAAATAGCAGTGTATGAGATTTCTGGTGGTTCTACACAATATGAAGTCTGTATTCTCTAACATATGTAAGTGTTAATACAGATGTGAACAATTTAACCCTTTGGAATAGGATTCAATCTGTTTATTAAGATGACTATTTTCTTCCTCATCATAATTCTGCTTCCAGCTTGTTATGTTACCTGGATGAGCTTCCTGTCACCCACTCCCTGTTAATCCAACCAGTCAAAAGTCTCTCTGAAAACACTTTCCATTCATTTATCCAGCTAGAATGTTATGAGTGTTAATAAATTGGTGTTTGCAAAAACAAAATCAATCCCTCCTGCAAAGCGGAGCATATATCTCACTGGTGTTGTGTTTAATATGACAGAGTTAGGCACGAGTGTGCTCTGCAGATCTGCACTTTTAAAACATCCTCTCCAGAGCTCTGAATGCAATTCAGAATTTGGTGGTAAAGAAAAATGAAATATTCTCCTGTAGGTTTTAGCGGAAGAGAATGCGTGCATTTAAAGTGGTAAAACATCTTGCAAATATTGGAGTTACTTGACTACAAAGAGGAGGGCTGGAGAGGGTAGTGTGGGGGAGGGTGTAAAAGGGGCCAGAGGGCGTTGAGTGCCTGCTCTCTACAACCAATCTTATTGTAGGACTAAGTTCCTCTAGCCTATTTTATCATCTTGTAACACTGGTTAGGTGGTCTGTAAATCCTGTCCAGGTCTACTTTTTTATTCTGGACTGTGCAGAGGTAAGAGATGCTGACAGAAAAGGTAGAGGGGACGAGGGACAACTCACTTCATATTCCACCCCACCCTCCCCCAGCAGCCATTGCGCTGGGGATCCCAGTTCCTAAGTACCTGGTGTATCAGGTAACCATGGAGCTGAATTCATTCTCAGGACCTTTTCCTTTTACAGACTTCTCCAAATCCCCCTCCAAGCAGTCTGACCTCTGCATCAGAAATATTATTGTGGCAGAGGGGCGACCTCGGGTTTCCCACCCATCACATTGCACGGTGCTGAAAGTGGTGGGGCAAGCACTGGGGTACCAGGGCGACCCCTAAAGGTGAGCGGCTGGGCGTGGAGTCTGGGGTCCCCGAGGAGCACGCCGAACCGGATGCGGGGCGTCGGAGGAGCAAGCTGTCCAGGAAGTCCGGAAGCGTCGCGGGGGCCTCCGCAGGGTGGGGTGGGCCGCCCCGCCCCCAGTCTGAGCTCCCCGCCGGGCTTCGGCCGCCGGGCGGTTCACTCACACCCTTCTTCTTCCGCGCCCCGCCCGCTCCCCACCTCCGCGCCTAGCCTCGTCGCCGCCGAACGCCGGACGCGCCACGCCGCGCTAGGCAGCTGGAGAGCGGGCGGGCGAGCCGTCCGGGAGCGACGGGGGCGGTGCCCAGCCCGCGGGCGGGAGTAGGAGGGACGCGGCCCGAGGGAAAGGGGAAAAGGAGGGCTGGAGGGCGCCAGCGGCGAGGCCGTCGGCGGGGACCGGCAGGTAAGCGCGCCGCGCCGGAATGGGTCTGTCGCCGCGGGTTCCTGCGACCCGGCCGGGGAACTGGCGACGGGCGCGGGCGGCTGGGGCGTAGCGCCGGGACGTAGAGTGCGACGGAACGGCGGGACGAACGCTCCCTCCGCGCGACTGAGGCTCGGCGGAGCTGGGGCCCGGGGCCGCCCTGAAAGGCGAAGGCCGAGGGCCGAGCTTCGGGGGCCCCGACAGTGAGAGAGTGCGCGCCGCGAGAAAGGGGCCCTGGCGACGCGTTCTGTGAGGGAGAGGGGTGTGTGTGTCCTGAAGCTTAAAACGGACTCCAGCTCTCCCCACCCCTGCGCGAAAAGGAGCCACGAGCCGTGTTCGCGCCGGCGGTCTTCGAGAGCCGACTGGCGGGGACTCAGTTTGCCGCGCCGCCCAGTGGGTGCGGCGGAGCCCGAGGAGCGCGGACGCGCCCGGGCCTCGGACGGCTGGGCGCTGCCGCGTCAGACTGGACCCAGAGCAGGTGGCTACGGGCGCGGCGCGATGGAGCGGCAGCCAAGAGCCTGAGGGTGAGGATGGGCTGGAGGCCTCGGGTGAGCGCTTTTCAACAGCGACTTGCCGCGTCCAGGCTCCCGAGCGTTTCAGGTGAGAAGGAGCGCTGACGGGCTTCCTGAAAGCCGAATGAGGCAGGCGGCAGAGGTTTTCCATGGCTGCTTCGACAGTGACTCTTGTGTGTACTGGGCCCATCCGAATTCCCTGGGGACCTTGTTAAAATACAGATTCTGATTCAGTAGGTCCGGCCGTGGTGGGGCCCGACCGTCTGCACTTCTGACAGTCTCCCAGATGCTGCTGCTGCTCCATGGACCACATGGCAGGCCTCGCAGAAGTACTTTTTGTCCAACAGACTGAAAACCTTAGGAACGTTGGGAGTGGAGATCCTAAGGTTTTTCAATTCCACCTCCTCCCCAAATACACAAATTTCAAAGATTCCTACTTATTTAGCAGAATACCTTACTCTTCTTGCTGCGTACATTATCTGATAGAGCTGGCTTCATGGGCATGCAGCCTGTATTTGGTTTAATGTTCTGCGGTCACTTTTCGAAATTCTGAATAATTTTTGAACAAGGGGCTTTGCAGCTGGCTGTCGAAATTCTGAATAATTTTTGAACAAGGAGCTTTGCATTTTTATTTTGCAACTGGCCCTATAAATTATGGAGCTGATCCGAGTAATAGTCATCATAGGCAGAAAAAGGACCCCATTTCTTTGGGTTGGGAGCTGGTGGGTGATGGAGAGTGAAGGTTTATTAAGTAAATACTAGCTAGATGTTGCAGTTCCTTCCATCTCTTAATTTCTGTTCATCTATTTTAAGAGGTAAGCCTATGTGTATAATCTCAGTTACACATGGTATTTTTAAATTAATAATTTATCAAGAGCTTAATAATACAGTTCAGTTTAATTTTGTAATAGTTTATGGGTTGAGCGACAAAAGTGTATGCCATTTCCAAAGGATTTGGGGAGTTTCTATTTAGTGTCCCAAAGTTTTGCTTAGTTAAGATCTAAAGTGAGCTGGACACTGCTTAGTTGGCTGCTTTTTCAGCTCAAGTGCAAAGCTGGAAAACAAAAAGTGGCCACATTTTGAAGCTGCTCAGGGGTTATTGCTTTACAGGGCCTCAGTGTGATGCCAGCCCCTATCGGATTCCCTCTGCTTTTATCATTCCCACATCCTGGCAAGGTGACTTTCAGTAAAAGGGGGATAGAGCAGATTTTGCTGTTGAAAAACACTGAAGAAGTGCAGGACCAGCATCAGTGTTTTCTCTGTGAATAATCCTTAATCCTTGCCCCAAACCCACAGATTTCAGATGTGTGTTCTTTTCTAGGAAAAAAAAATGGTGACAAAGAAAAGAAACAAAGAAGGAACTTTAATTATGGATATGATTTTGTTCAGCAGAAGGAGGAAAAAGTCTGGGAAATGGCATTTCATTGGTGGGTTTGGCCGGCAAAGGAGAGCTGCCGTCTTTCTGGTACCAGGAGCAGCCTTCCAGAAATGGCAAAGTGAGTTTGCTCAGGTGTTAGAGAGAGCTAGTGAAGAAGCTGCTCTTCTGTGGCTAATGTGGTCATTCTGGGTGCTCCCGAGTGACTTTGGTGTGCCTGAGGCTGGCTGGGGACTCAGAGACGGGGTACATCACGGTGAGATTCCTAGCACTTTCATTGCTCACATAAAACCGACCAACACATTTTTCCATTTCGCTGCCTGAGAGTGCCAAGTTACTTCAGATACACGCTACAAACTGGGAGGAGCACCATTATTTCAAAAAGAAAGAGGGGTGGGGGTGAGGGGAAAAATTCATATCTGTTACTAGTTCTGAAGATACAAAGGAGAGATTCTGCCTTTAGTAAAAAACCTGGGAGCTGGTTTTTATGCCTCACTGAGAAATTCTCTACCCTAAGATAGAGAAAAAACAATTTTTCTTTTAAAATGTTTATGGTTTTAAAAATACATGGATCTTTAATCCACATGGAAATTATTTGAGGGGCATGGTATGAGATAGGAGATGTTGGATGTTAAGAAATGGGCTAAACATTTGGGAAAAATTATCATAAATTCCCTCAATCAAATAAAAGTCTATGAACACTCTGTTCCATTTAAAAATCTACTTAATTAATTCTTGAGCTGATTCCATGCTTTAAAAATTGACGTGCAGTTTATTTACAATAACATTCACTGTTTTTAGTATATAGTTATATAAGCTTTGACAAATAAATACATGTAGTCATGTAACCACCACCATGGTCAAGATCTAGAAGTCCATCACTCCGAAAAATTCCTTATGGACCCTTTGTAGTCAACCCCTCCCACCACTCGTAGCTCCTGGCAACCACTAGTTTGTTTTCTGTCCCTATAAATTTGTCTTTTCCAGAATGTCCTGTGAATGGCTTCATACACGATGTAGCCTTCTGAGTCTGACTTTTTTCACGTAGCATATGAGATTCACTCATGTTGTGTGATTCACTAATTTGTTCCTTTTTATTGCTGAGTAATACTCCATAGTTTGTCCATTTACCAACTTTTGGTGATTATGAATCAGGCCAATATAAACATTCACATACAGCTTTCTGTGTGAATGTAAATTTTCAGTTCATTCCAGTAAATAACCCAGAAGTAGGATTGCTGTTAGAGAAGGCACTGGCGACCCACTCCAGCACTCTTGTCTGGAAAATCCCATGCATGGAGGAGCGTGGTAGGCTGCAGTCCATGGGGTCGCTAAGAGTCGGACACGACTGAGCGACTTAGCAGCAGCAGCAGTGGGATTGCTATATTGTGTGGTAAATTTAACTTGATAAGAAACTGCTGAACTTTTCTTAAATGGCTACTCTATTGCCCTCACCCCGTTGCTTGGCATCCTTGATAGTGCTTGGTATTGTCAGCTTATTTTATTCCAGCAGATTTATGATGGCATCTCTGTGGTTTTAGTTTACACTTCCCTGATAACTAATGATGTTGAGCATCTTTTCATGAGCTTTTTGATCATTTGTGTATCTTTTATGAAATGTCTGTTTTTTAATTGTATTGTGTGTTGTCTTACTGAATCATAAAAGTTCTCCATACATCTGCACACAAGTTCTCTGTCAGATACATGTATTGCAAACATTTGCTTTTAGTCTGTGGCTTACCATTTCATTTTCTTTATTTTTTTTAAAGAAAGTTGTGGTAGGAACACAACATGAAATTTACCCTATTAAATTTTGAAGTGTTCAGTAGTCTTGTGAACTATAGGCATGATGTTGGACAGCAGATAGCTGGAACGTTTTCCTCTTGCATGACTGAAACTTTATACCCTCCGAACAGCAATTCCCCATTTCCCCCTCCCTCTAGCCCCTGACAGCCACCATTCTACTGTCTGTGAATTTGACTGTTTTAGTTGACTCATACCTCATAATACGAATTAATGACTTTTCTTTTGAAGGGCAAGCGTTATAAATTTCGATAAAGTCTAACTTATCAGGTTTTTTCCTTCTATGAATACCGCTTTTAGTAACCTGTCATAAATTGTTTTCCTCCTGTTTAGCAAGATTTTCTCTTATGCTGCCTTCTGGATATTTTATAGTTTTACCTTTTATATGTAGGTTTTTTACTTCATTTTCAGTTAATTTTAGTATGAGTCAAGGTTTACTCTTTTCCATATAGATAGCCAGTTGTTGCAATACCATTTGTTGAAAAGACTATACTTTTCCCTCATTGTATCCCCTTGACCTCTTTGTCAGAAATGAATTTACTTTGTGTGTGTGCTTTGAACTTTGAACTCTATTCTGTTCCATAGATCTGTACATCTGTTCTTATGCCTGTACCACACTGTGAGGTGCTACACGTGAATTCCTAGATTGTTTTGTGTGTAATTTGTATTGCTTTTAGAAATTGTATCCTTTCTCCATTTCATTTTATTATGACTGTACTATTGTATGGGCTTGCCAGGTGGCAAAGTTGTAAAGAATCTGCCTGCCAATGCAAGAGATGTAAGAGTGGTGGGTTCAATCCCTGGGTCAGGAAGATCCTCCAGAGTAGGAAATGGCAAGCCACTGCTGTATTCTTGCCTGGAAAATTCCACAGACAGAGAAGCCTGGCGGGCTCCTGTCCATGGGGTCATGAAGAGTTGAACACAACTGAGTGTGTGCACACACACAGAGTATTATATAGAGAGGCTTTTTAATTTTTTTTGGAGTTCTAGCATAATCAAGTCATGTTACTAAGCTTTCATTAATTCTCATAGTATTTCAGTCAATTTTCTTCCGTTTTAAAGGTAAATAAGCTATCTACAAATGGCAGTGGTATAGGTATCCCTCCCTGCCCCTGGCATTTTTTCCTCCACCTGTCTGCTCTCCTTAGTGGCTGGGCTGTGGAGCAGGTGGAGGAGGAACATCTGACTTGGGTGGAAATGCTTCTCCTACCTACTGCTAGGTATTATGCTTGCTGTGGAGTTTTGGCATTTGCCCTTATTATTAAGTACCTTCTGGAGGTTTTCTTTGCATTTCATTTTTAACCTCGAAATGTTCAAAAAATTTCATTTTAAAATTTCTTGTTCTGTTTGGATGATTTTTTTTGTTTCATGGAAAAGCCTAACAGTTTAGAGGTGAGTCAGTCTTCCCAGCTTTGGAGGGTCATATTTTGATTTCCCTGGAGGAGCAGATAGTGTAGCAGAAGTCAATTTGTTTTTATTTAGACCAGGAAGAAACTACCTTTGGAGCTTTTTTATAATATTCTCATCTGCAGGGAAGGGGCGGGGAATGCCAGGTATAGTGAGGAAAGGAGAGAGAATAAAGGAACAGTTTATATGCATAGATAAAGGTTGTTGTTCAGTTGCTCGTTCTTTGTGACCCCATGGACTGCATCACACCAGGCTTCTCTGTCCTTCACCATCTGCCAGAGCTTGCTCAACTTCATGTCCATTGAGTCACTGATGCCATCCAACCATCTTATCCTCTGTTGTCCCCTTCTTCTCCTGCCTTCAGTCTTTCCCAGCATCAGGGTCTTTTCCGATGAGTTGGCTCTTCATATCAAGTGGCCAAAGCATTGGAGCTTTAGCATCAGTCCTTCCAATGAATATTCAGGGTTGATTTCCTTTAGGATGGACTGGTTGGATCTCCTTGCAGTCCAAGGGATTCTCAAGAGTCTTCTGCAGCACCACAGTTCAAAAGCATCAATTCTTCAGCACTCAGCCTTCTTTAAGGTCCAACTCTCACATCCATACATGGCTACTGGAAAAAACATAGCTTTGACTATATGAACCTTTGTTGGCAAAGTAATGTCTCACAATTTTTAATACACTGTCTAGGTTTGTCATAGCTTTTCTTCCTAGGGTCTTTTAATTTCATGGCTGCAGTCACCATCTGCAGTGATTTTGGAGCCCCCAAAAATAAAGTCTCTCAACTGTTTCCATTGTTTCCCCATCTATTTGCCATGAAGTTATGGGACCGGATGCCATGATCTTCGTTTTTTGAATGCTGAGTTTTAAGCCAGCTTTTTCACTCTCCTTTTTCACTTTCATCAAGAGACTCTTTAGTTCCTCTTCTCTTTCTGCCATAAGCGTGGTGTTATCTGCATATCTGAGGTTACTTACTGATAGTTCTCCCGGCAATCTTGATTCCAGCTTGTGCTTCATCCAGCCCAGCATTTCGCTTGATGTACTGTGCATATAAGTTAAATAAGCACGGTGACAATATACAGCCTTGACGTATTCCTTTCCCAATTTTGAACCAGTTCATTGTTCCATGTCCAGTTCTAACTGTTGCTTGTTGACCTGCATACAGGTTTCCAGGAGACAGATAAGGTGGTCTGGTATTCCCATCTCTTTAAGAATTTTCCACATTGTATGAATGAACAATGAACGAACAATAAGTAGATACCTTATGTGCAAATAAGGTAGCTTTTGGTAGTGGTTTTCAAACTTTTCTGCCCACCATTCATAGTGACAAGTATAAATCTCAGCTCAGTGTGGACATATCTATATATAATTGAAACAGAATCTCAAGAAGTATTATGCATTTTTCCTCTGTGAAGAGTATTCTGAAATTTTCAATTCACTTTTATCTGTTGTACTTCATTTTAAAATGATGATCATTGCATTGATTTGACACTCTTTCATAAAACTACTGTGTTATAAAACTGTTTCTTTAGTTTCTAAGTCCCCAAACTGCTGAACTGTGTCCAGGACAGATTCATTTTATATCAGATTCTGTTATGATGCTAAGTGAGTTCATTTTTAATTCTCTGAGATGACAGTGCGTTCTGAGTTGCTTTAGTTGTGTCTGACTCTGTGCGACCCCCCAGACTGTAGCCTGCCAGGCTCCTCTGTCCATGGGATTCTCCAGGCAAGAATACTGGAGTGGGTTGCCATTTCCTTCTCCAGGGGATTTTCCCAACCCAGAGATCTCGAAGCCAGGTGTCTTGCATTGCAGGCAGCTTGTTTACCTTCTGAGCCACCAGGGAGATAATGGTAGCTACCCCAGTTTTTCTCTCAAATTTATATGTAGCTTGTAACCCAGTCTCCCAGTACCCA